TCCAGCTGGATCAAATCGTGCACCAAGACCACCAATGATGGACCTCCAAACATGCACGCATGACTTTACTACATTATTGATCCGCGGGTTCTTAGCAAGAGTCGACTAACAGAACCTTTGGAGCAGACCATCGCATGGGAAGTGTCACCAAGGGCAAGAAGCCAGCTGTCCCCAAGTCGAGCCTTGGCAAATTAGGAGCCACCACAGAGTGGTCGCCTACAATAGGACCATCAAGTACCAATATCCCCCTTTGGCGCCACCCTAGCCAAAGATACTGATGCACACAATTGCACGCACGCAGTCCGCCCCATCAGAACAGGGGTCATTGCCAGCAGTCTGTGAGAGGGAGTGTGGGGGTGTACGGAAAGCGCGGCTTTTTGCATTTCTGACACATGCTCCATGATTGCACTGAATGCAAGCAGTTTTTGTACTGTGTTTTGTGAAAGCTCGTTCATGGAGTGCATGACAGAACCCTGTGCGCGTGAAGACGAAAGGAAGCAAAACGGCGAAACTCAAAGTGTCCTCGATCCTGTGAACAACCCTGTGGCACCATATCCCACTGTTTATATGTTTTTTTTAAAGGCTTGCTGACTACTTTGGAAGGACGTCTCGCACGAAATGCTTGTTTTGAAGCCTTGACGTGCGACTTTGTTTGAAACGAGTGTCCTACAAGAGAGTCCCGCAAGAGTGTCCCACAAAAGTGTCCCACAACAGCGTCCTACAAGAGTGTCCCAAATTGTGTTCAAGGAAAGGTTCCCCACACAAATGCGTCCCACAAAACTGTGCCACAAGGAGTGTCCTACAAGAGTGTGCTGCAAGAGTGTCCCACAGGACCTCAACCGCCAGTTCTGCGTGGCAGTGTTCGGCAATGCCAGATAGAACGCCAGAAATGTCAGAAAGATTGTCGGAAGATATGCAGAAGATATGCCAGATAGAGTGCCAGAAAAAATGTCAAAAGATTTGCCAGAAAGAATGTCAGAAGATATGCCAGAAAGAATGTCAGCAGATATCAGATATGCCAGATAGAATGCCAGAATGAAGGTCAGAAGATACGATAGAATAGAATGTCAGATGAAAGATTGTGAGAAGATAAATCAAAAATAGAGCCAGAAAAAATGCCAGAAGATATGCCAGAATGTTTGTCAGATTGAAATGTAATGGTGGGGATCACTCGAAGTAAACTAGCTTCATTTGTGATATTACCATTTTTGTCATTTCATTCTGCGAGTTTTGAAATGCGTCTGCCGGTTTAGTTTGACTATGTTCACTTTATGTGCGAATCGAGATCTTTAGATCCCAGGCCTTCTTCACCGGTGAAGAAGAGCCCCAGTGGATGGCAGCACTTGCGTTTAGCTGCGACTGCGTTCAGGCCTTTTGGAGGCGGACCGGACGTATATACCGGGTTCCGGTAGGACTTGCAGGTGCCGCAGGGGCCTCCCCCCCTTCTGATTCACAGCTAGTTGTGTTGTCTTCCTAAGTAAGTCTTATAGAACACCCTGAAGGATGCAGGCAAAAAGGAAAAAGAGAGAGGAGACAAGGAAAAGGCCTCGTGGCTTTACGGGGACGTGTTACCGAGGCCTTTACCATTTGTAGTGAAAAGAATCGCAAAGGCATTGCACTTGAGCAATGCCACACAAACGAGATGCCCATACCCGCCTGTTCCAGGTCTGGGCGATGCAATGAAGCCGTTTGGATGCAAACGGTTGACGGCGGTGGCGGCATTGAGAGTTGAAATCTTCTACAACATGTTCGACTACACACTACTGAATTCGCTGTTTTGATCTCAGAGATTGTTCAGACCCGAGGAGAAGGGAAGAAAGCAAGCAAACCATTGAACCTGAGGACGAACAGGCACGCGTGGGGAACATCCTGAACACACTCTGCTCACGGGAACCTGACTGAAGTGTAGGGAGGCAAGCTTTGGTTTGGCAGCGCCTTGCATTTCACAGGAAATGGAGGGGCCTTTGGAGCCAGAAGAAGTTGCCCAGGAAGATGAAGAGGCAAACAATTCGGGGTGGTGCTTTGTTCGGAGAACGTCAATTACTGGAAGTAATAGTTATACTTCTCCAGTTCCTCACTGCCTATGAAAGGCTGTGACGGACAGGGGCCGCAAGTCGCGCTATACTTCTCCTGTTGCCATTGGAATTCGCATCAAGCAAGCAACACAGAGTGGACCAAAAGATGACAAAGGTAACAGCCTGCTTAGGCTTTGCATGAAATGGGTTATTTAATCCGATCGTGCCCCTTTTGCCCGTTTGCCTCTGGCACATTGCAGGTGAAGACGACATCAAAAAATAGTGTGTTCAACATGTGCCTGGATCTTTCCAAAGAGCACCTTTCGGCAAGGAGAGGATTGGGAAGTTCGGGATCAAGTTGAAATAACACTGATGTCTTTTTCGCTGAAGCGTTTGGGCGTTTGTTCAACTTCTGATGCACCGTTGCCGACCGAGAGGCACTGCTTTTTGAAGCGTGAATCACCCTTTTAGTCAGACATTTGAGAGGTACCGTGTCAGAGACCTCCCGCAGAATCGCTCGCGTTGTTGAGTATGTGTGGTGTAACAAGTGCCATACGTGATGGCGAGCTACATTTTCCAAGGGCCAGGGCCAAGTGCCATTCTCATAGTTTTTTGCCACAGGGCCATGGTCTTGTCTGAACCTCATCGACATCGCCCCTCGTCCCTTCTTCGTTTGAGCACATTCCAAGGTATTTAGTGCCTCTGGACGAGGTGAAGAAATGCTTCGATGAGTTTAAGCAGATCGACACCAGTGGCGCAGCTTCAACGGAGCTGATCACTCTTGCCCTCCCCTTTGGTTCGGCTGGTTTGGATGGAGGCCAAATTGCTTGACCCCAAACGGCACAAGGTGCTACAATGAGACCTGGGTGCCACTGGGTGCAGGGAGGACAGACTCGAGTGTCTCATGATGGATTGGGCTCTCCATTCCAAACCTTGCAAAGTGAATTCCAATGCTAGGTCTAGGTCTAGGTTTGCCGAACATGATTCACTTAGGCGGTGACTTGCTCATCTCCCTGGATGAGTTTGAGGCTGGGTGGATTCATTTGCTGTTCCTCAGCCCAGTGTGTAAGCAAGCCCGTGACGCGCGTAAGTGAAACAAAGCGAAAAGTCTTCGAGGCTTACTGGTGGCTGGTCAACGAATGATGATACACCGATGGATGCATGCATGCATGCATGCATGGATGGATGGATGGATGCTTCTTTTTTTCTGCCGAAATAGCATCATTGTAGCCCGGCCCTTTGACTTCCCTGTGGCTGGCCACTAGTGTACATAACCTTTTCCCCACCACGACCGAAGGCATCTGCCAGAGTGAACATGAGTTGGGCAGAAGACAAGGACTGCGTCAGAAGACAAGGGCACTGCTTCGGAGGTCGCCTCCTGAGGGCGAGTGTCAAGCAGTCCGTCTCACAACCGCAGGAGATGCCTGCTGAATTGAAGACAAGGATCCAGAAGTACTTCCAGGTGTGGTTTGCTTGCGGTGCTCGTGCTCAACTGTTCTAAGCAACGCTGCTGAGAGGCGAGGATCAAAACCGAGACCAAAACATCAAGGTGTGTAGAAACTCCTCACTATATACACTACCCCCTCAAGATGCAGATTATGTTCCCGTAATTTGGGTAGCTGACCGGCATCCTGCTCAGTACGACATCTCTGGGATTCTCTGGATGCATCAGATCAAATGGCTCTTTTCAGGTACGGGCACCCCAAACAGGGGCCTCCAGAACCAGGCCGGACGAGCCGCTCGCCGCTCAGGAGATGGACAGAGATTCCAACGAAGTCATCGACTTTCCGGACAGATGGGTCCAGAGGGTTGATTTGGTAGGAGCAAGGACGCTACTAGGGGCTCCTGGCCCTACTACTAGGAGCAATAAGCTATTAGAAACAAGAAAAAAATCAATATAATTCAACTAGAATTTAATTAGAATTGAAACAAGTGGCAACGATGGGTGTTCCTGGGAGGAAACAGCTAGATTTAGGTTGTGATCGGCTGGTTGCCATGACATGGAGAGTATGGCCTTGGCCCCAATGATTTCAAGGCAATGTGCCGACTCTCAAACTGATTTCCCTGTGAATGCTTGACAGGAGCACGCCCAGAGTAACACTAGCATGATGTCACATGCCCAAGATGCACTATGGTTGGTGTCCTACATGCGTGCGGCTACTTGTTGTTGAGGAGTACTTTGATTGGTCCATGAAGCACCGATGGACAGAGGACAGCATGGCATGGTGGGCTGTTTGGAGTTTGCTTGGCTTCACATCCCTCTAGCGAAGAACCTGCATGAAGGTGCAGCTTTCGCAACATGCCTTCCTTTAACTGCAAGTTCACACAACATATGCTTAGCCATGACATCTTTGTTTGACTTGATCTGGCTCAGCCCTGCAGATTCGAAGGAGTTCCTGGCAAGGGATGAGAAGGACCTAGAGAACAGGAAGCGCCCGCATCTCATGGTGGTGGTATGCTGGTCAAGATGTAAAAATTCAAAGGATTCTTCGGGTGGCCAACGACAGTCGCAACAAGCAGCCCGTGGAATGACCTTTAAAGGGCCCTTAGAGACTCCGTGTTTGAGATTGTTTTTTTTTAGCTCCTGGGTAAACTGATCGCAGCAGCCCTGGCGTGCCGTGCCAAATATGGACACCTTTGGGGTAACAGTCAGTGTCCAATGCTAAATGTTGAGGAGATAGTGCACGAGGCAACTAGGGATCACCATGGATCACCTACCATTTGATTCTCGGCTTCAGCCCATCGTTTCACGTGGACGAACCGGTGTCAAAAAAGGACACCGGCGTCGACGCTAGGCGGCGTTGCCTGAGGACAGAGCGTGGCCATCGGGTAGCATTCGTAGGGGGCTACCTAGGCCTGCATGCAATGGGCCGCCATGCATGCTCACAAATACAGTGACATACAGCTCTGCATTGGATGGGATCATGTCAAGAGCAAAGAAAGGGAGAACACCGTGGACCGTGGATACCAAACACCACGCGAATTCGTCGTTTAGGAAGCAACTCCGTTGGGTTAGAAGTCTTGCCGTCGTCGCCATGGGCGGCTCCTTTGGTCGACACTTTTGGACACCTTCAGCTTGGACGTGAGAAACCATGATATGGGTAGCTGGGACTAAACCATGAATGGGAAAGGTTTTTGCACGAAATGCTTGACTCTTCAAAGAAGCTAGGAAGGCTGCTACAACCGCAGCCTTGTACTGCATTTGCATGCTTTAAGGCATCATTTTTCCAGCTCTGTCGTTCATGAGTCGTGGGAGAAGTGGGGGACCAACCGTCACATATGACAGGCTATTCATCAATAGCATACAGCATGGCATCATGGCGCTATGTCAGGTTCGCAAACTATTGGTGCTCCATCAAACATCCCGAACACATGTTATTATGTTGGGAGATGTCTCCACGGCTTTTCGCGGAGCTTTTTCCAAGGCACATGTGCAGAAGGGCACGATCGCCACCAACTACACCCCAGACATGAATCTTGGAGAGGCAGTTCAGTGCAGTCCTATGGCCCGCCAGCTAGAGTAGAGAGCTGAATTAGGCGATTCCGCTCATCCCAGAAGCAAACCCTAGCAGACCTTTCCTTTTGATGCCTTTACTCGTCTCCAATCACCAATTGGGCGCGGTGATAAGGATCAAATGGGAGGACGCACCACTGTCCAGCCCAAATACTCCGGCACGCCGGCAACAGGCTACTCGTCAGAAACCTGGCCCCGGACAGTGTGGGAAGCGGTTGGCAACCATACCTGCATGCGGAAAACCCTTACAACATATCCTTTTGTTTTTTTTTGGTGTGTGTGTGTGTCCACCCCTGGACAAAGGGTCTTCCACCACCACTTTTTC